GAGGGGGGGGGTAACAACAACTGTTTAAGTCAAAGTCAAACCATTCTGCTGACGGAGCCCCTCAGTCAGAGAGAAATCTGGGAGTGAGAAACAAAAGATGTCAGTGGCGGGTATCATATCAATGCCGTACACCGTTCTGTGTGTTTGTCTCGTGTCTAGTGGACGATCATCGTTTGTGTCTCAGTGTGGGTGGTTGGCGGGTGCCCTGTGGTGGTTTGCTCCTTCTTTTCTGTCAAATAACTATCGTCTTTATCTCTCCCCTCCTTCTTTTTGTTACTCTCTTGTTTCGCCTCTAATCTTCGGCACTTAATGTGACCTTATTTTGTTGCAAGTGCTGTAAAACTCCTATTAAAACTAAAAACGTCTTCGGCATTGACACGATCAGATTGTGTTTCAAGCGCCGTAAAAATTTAATTGAAATTAAAACTAAAAGCCATCAATAATAATTTATTTATCTATATACGCACCAGTCATCCATGTCTAGGTGCTGTGTTAGCCTGTTCAAAACTAAAACGAAAGTTAGGCGGGTGGTTGGAGGGCGCTACTGGTAGGCCTTACTTTTTTAAAACTTTCCCTCTGTTGTTTCTGTCTGTCTGTCTTACTTTCCCCCAGCACTAAATGACCATCATTGTGTCGATGTGCTTCTCTTTACTCAAACTAACAAACAAACACAAAGTTGTGAAATGTTTCTGTGTTTATCTCAGGGCCCAACCTGTCCAAGTGGGTGGTTGGCAGGTGCTCTGGTGTTGTTTGCTTCTTCTTAATTTCTATCGTCTTTATCTCCCCTCCTTCTTTTTTGTGCTTGTTACTCTCTTGTAGCACTTCAATCTTCGACACTTATATGACCTTATTGTGTTGCAAGTTTCGTAAAACACGTCTTACTAAAGCTAAAAACTAAAGAACTGTTTCTGTGTTTACCTCAGGGCCCAACCTGCGCGTGGTCGCCACTCTGTCGTGTGAGACGGGACACATCGACGTGGCGGAGTGTGAGCGCCGGGCCGTTGACGTCATCACCATCCCCCTCCAGCCTCCCGACAACTTCGCCGAGCTCACGGTGGCGCTCATGCTGCTCACCATCAAGGAGATGCTCACAGGTGGGCGCGGGCACTGGGTGCACTGACCGACAGCTCAGCTGGTATCATGCTGGACCACCTAGCGGGGGGGGGGGGGGGTGTCTTGGTTCGAATCTCTGATAGGTCATTCTGAACTTGGGATTTTTTTTTGTTGTCTTTTAAAATATTTTTAAAAAAATTTGTGGGGAGGGGTGTTAAGACTCTCCTTACATTTTCCCCGGTCCTTTCAGAAAGGGACATTAAATTTGGTGGAGTTCCTGCCTCTTAATTGGTGGTCTCTTTTAAGCTCAAGTGGGCTATACCGAAAAATTTTATTTTGAGAAAATCGAGGGTAAAGTTTTTGGACCCTTGTTAGTTTAAAAGACAAGGATTTGTAACCAAACAAATTTACTCACCGATGAAACCAAACTTCTCCTAGAGGTAGGGCAATGCCCACTTTTGGTGTAGGTCAAGATTTCTGGAAATCCCTGAAATCTGGGTTAGCCCGCTTTACCATACAATGTTGAAAGGGGCGTTAACAAGGATAATGGCAGAAGATTTCTAAATATTTTTATGCCCTGGTGGATACAACAATTTTGATAAGGGACTGATTTGACCTTGTCTGTCTGGGCCAACCCTGGGGTCAGTGCAAGGACAGCCATAGTATGTCTGCCTGAGCAGATAATGATAAATATATCACTAACGATAAATATATCTCTAACGATAAATATATCACTAACGATAAATATATCTCTAACGATAAATATAACACTAACAACAAATATACGCCTTACGATGAATACATCACAACTGATGTGAAGTGGTAGGGGCTGTCTGTGTCTGAGCAAAAGTACTTCAAGTGCAGGTCGGTGGTGTACCAGTGTTGGCTGTTTGCTGCATAACACTTTTAGGTCAAGGAGGTTTTTAATCTGATTGTGGTTTGAACTTACTGGGGTAGACACAGATGCTAGATAAAGAAGTCCAAAAGGTCAATTTTGGGACACTTTGACAATGCCTTCGAAATGTTGTGTACTCCTGATAAGAGATGTTAGGTTCATTTGGTATGTAAGGATTAATAATTTTAGAAAATGTCATTTGAACCACATGATAGATATATATGTACAGTCTAAATCTGTCATTGTTTGCAGGGATGTTGTCTTTGTCAAGATGATTATGTAGACCAATCTGATTTGTCTTGTCCAATAGTCTTGTTTTTATACACTGAGAAGCAGAAAAGGATGTAAGTGGTTTGTTTTTCTGTTCAATCTATTTGAATGATTCAGCTTTGGTTTTCAAAAAATTGTGTACAAGTATAGAGTAAGGGGAGATTACTCTTTGAAAACAATCTCACTTTCTTACAGATTTGGTTGTCTTTATTTGAGTTTATACAATTTTCTCCACAGATGAAGAAAGAGTCATCAACATTGAACCGCAGACGCCAGACTTGATCCCAGAGGATGTGACATCGACCTGGAGACAGAGCAACCCTCGACTCATTCGCCGCCTCTCGGAGGAGCAGCTGGCATTCCAGTGGTCAAACGGGCGACCTTCCAACACGGACTGCTTGACCTGGAAAAACATTGCCAAGAAAACTTTTGGTGTGTACGGACTGACCAAGCTCGGAGAGAGTGTGGTCAAGCTGCTGAAAACCTTCGGTGCGCAGCAGGTGCTGGTTGCGGACTGTGATATGGAGCTGGATAACTCGGACATTGTCAATAAGTCACACTCAGATTACGATATTGTGTCGTTTGACGAGCTGTTGGAGAGAGCAGAAGTGATCTGCGTGTGTGGGTCTGTTGGTGACTGCTCAGAAAATGTTTTTTGCCGTGAGTCTTTCAAGAAAATGTCGAGCAATGCAATTCTGGTTACTTCACAGAGTGAAGAGAAAGCGATTGATTACGTTGATTTGTACGAGGCTTTGAGGGACGGGCAAATCAAAGCTGCTGGTCTCAACGACTGCAATCAGGAACCGGTACCATTCAAGACTCCGCTTTTGGGCTTGAGGAACTGCATATTTTTGCCACAAACTGAAGAGAGTGTCTACGACATGCGACACAAAGTCTCCGGCCTGATTGCCAAGAATCTCATTGATGCCCTGAAACTGAAAAGGGAAAAATTGAATGTCATTATTGAATAAATGAAATGTTGAAATCTGGATTACTGAGTGCTTAGTGTAGGACTGAGCCATCATGAAAAGTGACGCACGACGGAGTCTTGCACTGAGTGGTCTAAACACAAGTACTGAGTTACTAAGTACTATGACTGTGCTGCTGAGAATTTAGAGACGGAATAGACTTTTCCATGTCACTTGTTTCAAAAACCTTTGTGTACTTTTTGTACGACAAAATATTTTTCTCATAGATTTATAGACCGTAGTGGAGTACAAGTTTCTGGAATATTCATGTCATAATTGTACTGACCCATGTAACAGTCTAGTCTGGTTATATTTCAATTGTTATCCACACTGACATATATGGCATTGTTCAGTTAGATTTTATAGGTTATAAACAATGATACATGCTATTGTTTGGTTACATTTCATACGTCATACACAATGGTATATGGCACATTTTACACAATGGTACATGCTGTTATTTGTCACAGTGAAGCCACTTCTTAGTGATCTTAGTACATAACTATAATTCTGTGTAGATACGAGTCAACTGGTGTGATCCAAATCTTGTTCCAGATGTACTTGACTTTGTTTTTCTTCCCAACCTTTGTCCTCATTTCTTGCTAACGTGCAGTCTATTTGATCACTCCATTGTCTGAAGACAGCTTCACTGTTCATCTTTTTCTTCTTCTTTTGTCCCTTAAAAATCTACTCTAAAACTTTTAGTTTTAGTTTTAGTTAGAGTTTTACTGCCCTTGCAACACAATTAAACCAAATAAGTGCCAAAGATTTGAGATGTTACTAGAGAGTAACATGCAAAAAAACAAAAACAAAGGGGAGAGATAAGGACGATAAATGTTTGATAGGATATAAAGAAGGAACAAACCACGCCAAAGCACCCACCAACCACCCACTCTTAAACGTTGGAGGGGATAACAATAAGAGGTATTATAGAAGACAATAACTTTTTTAGAATTTTGAAGTGTGTGCTTTGTCTGGTTGAAAGCTTTACACAGATTATAAGTACATCATTATCTTCTTTGTTTATACTATACTACTGACTGCTGATTGGTAAATCCATTACCAAATTGCTCTCATCAACCAAAAACTGCTTCTATGGGTGTTTTCGAGTTTAATTTTGTGGTAAAAAATTTATGGCCCTCCAATTTGTCCTTTCAGGAATTGTTTTTCGTTTACGAGGCGCTGGTCCTACCATTTTGTGCTGAAAGAATTTTTGAGTAAGACCAGAACTGATACTTGGAGAAAGTAAACATTCAGATCATAATTTTTATTTCTTTAGCAATAACAGACAGGCATAGCTGTTGAGTTAATTTGTGATGTCGAAAAATGTAAGAATGATATTTTTCTGGATTTGATTTGTCAGGGATCATCTCCCTTTACCTTGAACCGTGGGGTTTTTTTTTCTGAAGGTTATTAATTGTGCTTTGCATAGCTACAAAATCAAGTTGACTGCGAAACTTTAACGTATCCATCAAAAAATATTTTTTAAAAATCCTCCTCAAACAATGTTTGCTGATGTGGTTCAAATATGAGTTGGTAGCACCTCAATCTGAAGGTGGGATACTCCACAACACTTGCCAAGTACTCGAATGAAATTAAAGAGCCCTCCAATTTTTTTCACCCCCTTCAAAGAACTTTGATCGGATTTGCAAGAAATCCGATTTCCCTTTTAGAATTCCGTTTCCATGGGTCGTACACAACTTATCATAAATAAGGATACGCAGGTTTATTTGCAATTGTTTGCAATATTTGCACAATTTATCGTAAATAATGTGAAAAATACACATTTCTATTTCCATTTATTTGAGTGTATTTGCAATACAGGCGTTTTTGCCACGGTTGGTTTGTTACGTAATCTTTCTATTGGGGTTCTAGGTGTGCCGATGTTTAGGGAAGGTTCTGAGGCAGACTCATGTGTTTGACCGAGGAGTGGTTGGCACGTCTGCTCTGCTGTTCAGTCAAATGTCCATTATGTTTCTGTTTTTCCATGACATGTCTCCTAAAAAAATGATTATGCTTTACCCCATACTTAAAGGTGTATCATTACCTATGCATAATTATTTTTGTCATGTGTTTATCATGATCAATGTCAGTTTTATACTTTGCCAACCGAAATTTGCAATGCTCTTTAAAATATTTCTGCCATATTTTTTGTTTCGTTTTTTAATACTTTTTTTTTTAAACCTTGCTCTGAACACCATTTATTTTGTGTTTTTGTAATGAAGGGATCTATGGTAATTCATTTTCTCTTTTTTTACTGCTGCCTTTCTTTTCAAAGTATGAGCTTAAAAGTTTTATAAATTTGGTGAGCTGACATGAAATATGAAGACTTTGGTCATAAGCAAAAGTAGTAAAAAAAAAGAAATGTAAGTGAAAATTTAAGTTAACTCGATCTATTTAATTAAAGGTCTCTCAAAAGTAAATGTGTATGCCTCTGGTGTGTGTGTGTGTGTGTGTGTGTGTGTGTGTGTGTGTGTGTGTGTGTGTGTGTGTGTGTGTGCACGTGCGCGCTTAGATCTATGCAGTATACTTTTGGATGAGCTTGCTTTTAAGTCTTTCTCTGTTTTGCTGTGTAGTTTTGCTCTTGATATACCATTTGGCAGCTTAGAGCAGTAGAGGTGGAGTTTAAAAAAGTACATCAAGTAATGATAAATATGTAAATATTTGATATGTGTTCCTTTGAATAGCTTTTAATGTATTTCTAGTAGATCTATTTGATGATGCTTTATGCATGAACCAAGTAGCAGTTCAATGAAGCACCCACTTAACTGCTTTATATCCATCCAAACTGACATTTAGTTCTGCTATGTACATTATGATGAATTTTGAACATCTTCCATTCCAGCTGTTTTGTCTTTTGATATGACATCTAGCTTCACTTTTGGTGGGATCCTGTTTTTGTTTTGTTTTTTAAACCGATTCTTATCTGCTGCCGTTTGTGTTTTCGTTTCTGCAGCTTATAAAAGGTAGTGACTTCATCAATGCATTAATTCTTTCAAGCTAAAGGGACATAACTGGCTTACTGGCCCGTCTTGGGGATTTTGACTGCTTTAAAAGGTTGACAAGGAAGACATTATTCTTTGACCCAATCTCTGGATAGGTAACTCAGTTTCATGTTCAAAGTTTCATGTTCAAGAATAACATTTTGTCCTGCTCCTCGAGACATTTTGTTTGTCAATTGTTTATAAATGTACAACAGTTTTGCTACCAAACTAAAGATGGAGGAAAATGTCAGAGAAATGCAAAAACTGGAAGAAGTCCATGTGTCACAGCGTGGACGGCGTGGTGGAATCAGGCGCTCGTCAATTTTTGGGCATATATGGGGTTATTCATTATTGGTATCATCGTAAGGCCTCTTCATTTGCCTTGCTTTTGATGAAAAAATTATACATCTATGTTCAACAGAAGTTGAATATTTGCGATTGAAGGATGTCAGGGTCGCCTGGCTTCAGAGGTAAAATTAGCGAGAAAATGGTCACCAAAGTTTGGTAATTTCCATAGATTGAGAGTCCTTGAACACTGAAAATGTACATTTTTTGTGCCTTTTATCAGTGTTTTTCAGTAAAATCCACTTGTAAATGTGTTTTCAAATGGATATAAAAGGTGTAAGTGAAAAAAAAGAAAATAAGAAAAAAATTGCCCAAGGGCCAGAAAAATGCCAATTTCTTTGATTCCATTGTTTTGACGAGCGCCTGGTTTCACCACAATGCCTCACTTATAATTAATAGGCTTATAATGTGAGTTATATGATTATAGGTTGCATTGCAGTCTTACTAGATTTTGACTTAATTTTTTACTAAGTTTTGCAAGATTGCTTTGCAATTTTATGTTTCTGACTTAATTTTCTTAAGCTTTTCTGGGTTGCATCACAATTTTCATTCTACGATGTGATTTAATTATGTTCATTGTAAATACTATTGTATTATGTGAAAATTCATATAAATAAATATGATACATCTATGAATTGTCTTCACGACTGTTTTTTGTGCTGATAATTTTTAGAATTATATGTCAGGTGTTGGCAATGTGGATGTATCAAAATTTAGTCTTGGCAAAAGGTGATGATTATGGTGATAACTATGGAAAGTTTTCCAAGAAAAGAATTTTATAGATGAAACATCTCTTTGGAAGAACATCTTCTGTTTTAAAAAATTGTTTTCTTTGGGTATTTTTCAAAGATGTAGGCTTTGCCCCAGTCATGGAGTTTCTATAAATGTTAAGGAACTCGAGATCTCTGGTGGATTCTGAAAGAGTTACATGACTTGCTCTCTAAGCCCTCTCTCTGGTCCTAGCAATGAGCTAACAACTTCTCCTCCCAAGGGTTCAAATTGTTGCCTGGTACAGGCTTGCCAACCTTCCTGAATTTTTCAGGAAATTCCAGAATTGCCATCGTCGTTCCCGAACCTTTACGGAGGCGCCAGCGCGATGTGTCCCCCCCCCCCACCCCACCCCAAAATGTATTATTTTTTCTTAGAAAACCCAAAACTCGAAGGCATGGACGAAGGGATATGTGTAGTAACTGTACTGTTACATTCTCATCTCTCTCTCTCTCTGTTTCTCCATTGGTTTGTTTGAGCTGTTTTTGTGGTGTGGGTGTTTTTTTTAGCCTGTCACAGGAGTGTGTGTCCATGGCGCTCAGGAGCGTTCAAAATTCCAAAATTCAGTATCTCGAAAGTTGGCAAGCCTGCTGGTATATTATATTAGAAGTAACAGCTAGATGACATATAACTTGTCAAAGTGAGTGAAGGAACACAGGATGGGAGTCTGGGTATATATTGTCTTTTCTAAAGTCTTGAGGAGTAAAATCAGAGGTATCAACTGTATCCTTTGATTTTCATTTTTAAAAAAATCATGGCATCTGGTTCAAAATTAGAAAAATACATGCCAATTTCAATTCTATCTTCATTCAAAAACTGATACGATATATACAAGGTTCAAATTGCAACTAATAAAAAATGTCGGAGAATCGATTTTCACCTTTAGATTAAGGGCCCTGTGTGAGAACTCGATCAAAGCTTCTTATTCAATGTGCTTTCTTTTCCACGAGTTCAATCTTTTGCTATTATTGACTCAGGTGGGCCTTATATACGATGTTTGTAAAGGAAGCTTCCCACTATAGGTGTTTATTCATAAATGTCAGAGGTCAGATACGTGGAGTGGGGAGCTCTTTAACCTTATCCATTCGTCGTGTTTTACTATCGTATCCATACTTCATGGGGAACTTTGTGCCACCACTTTCCAAAGAGGAAATTTACTCGTTAATCTGGTCCGTACGCTTTGCATAGCAGTCTGTCAAAATGATTTTTTTTAGAAATACTGAAAGTTTCAAAGAGATAATCTTCGTACTAGAAGAATTCTACAATATGAAGAATACAAACCCGGGGGTACAAAATGACCCCAGGGCGTACAGATAGGGTTAAAAACTCTAAAAAGCTCCAAAACACAAGTCAGGGAGATTTAAAAACCGTAGTGGCTTGTGAAGAAAGTCTTTAAGTTTTTTTGTTTTGTTTTTTCATTTGTAAGTCCAGCATTAGGATTAATTCAATGAACTGAACCCATACTGTTTTAAAATAATGCTTTTAGAAAACACAGACAGGCTAAACTTCCAAAAGCAAAGTTTGAAGTGTATTCTTTGCATAAATTTAGTTTTATTCCCGCCTTGAAGCTCGCTTGTAGGTACATTTTGTATCTAATAAATAAATGTTATTTCACAGAAACTAAAGAAAGACTGTGAAACCGAAAGGTTGATGACAATGATGATGATAAAAAAGGTTGTCATGGATTTTTTGTTGTTTTTGAAAAGCCACAAAAACTGCTGGGCCACGCCATGGCTCAACTCACTCTCTCTCTCTCTCTCTCTCTCTCTCTCTCTCTCTCTCTCTCTCTCTCTCTCTCTCTCTCTCTCTCTCTCTCTCTCTCTCCCTCCCTCCCTCCCTCTCCCTCTCTCTCTCTCCCTCTCTCCCTCCCTCCCTCCCTCCCTCTCTCTCTCTCTCTCTCTCTCTCTCTCTCTCTCTCTCTCTCTCTCAAGCAATAATTTGGTCCCAGCACAGAATTACAGAATTCTGTGGTCCCGGCAGTCCCAGGGATGTTGCCTGGCGACTGAGACGCGGTAACAGCATGCAGAATACAACATCCGGAAGAGACCCGGAATGTGTATAAACAACATTACAGTTTAGGCCTCGGTGGCCTTGACCTTTATAATGAGGCAAACACAGTCGCAGTGAGTCAGGTCAGCTGTCCGCAAACGCCCTCAAGGTTGGTGCCTACGTGCATTTCTTTGAAATCTTTTTATAGAAATATATCTTGTCGGTCTCGCATTTTGGAGTTTTGAATATTCTGCATATCAACCCCTCTGTGGTGGACTTCGTTGCACGCCCGATTCTCAGCTAGAAATCATAGGGTAGTAGGTGCACTTGTTGATTTGTTTTTATCAAAATCTTCAGTTTGTGTACTGAAGGCGAAGGTTGAAAGTGTTTGAACTCGTTGACAACCTTGAACTTGACTTGAGCGCCGGTGAGTAGTACGAACTGTTACAATATTAGCCAAATAATAGGCCTAGATCTAGTAAGGATGGCAGTAATTGACAATATAAGACTCCTTAATAAGTAGTCCTTAACAGCTTCAGGTAAACTTTTACTTATGCACGCACACATAGATTATAGATCTAGATCTAGAATCTAGATGCATTGTTGATTTGAGGGCTAAACTGCCACAATTTTTGCTGTAGAACACGTCGTGTGGCCACTAAAACCCTTACAAATCAATTGTAACATTGTTTTCAATCAATTGTAAATAAATATAATCAATCCTAATTGCCAAAACATCAAATCATTGTGAAATGCAGGGGGGCATGCCACCCCCCCTTGAAACCCCCCAGATTCTTTTTAGGTCAGAGGTCCCCCCCTTCCCCCATGAAACCCTCCATGATGGATATTATTAAATTTATTATTTTCAAACATCAATAACTCACACACAGTTGAGTAACATATTGATTTGCGGCAAAAATGAAGGCCATTTTCGTTTTAGCATGCAAAATGCTATTAGATCTAGATCTAGATATAGATCTAGATTTAGAAAAGAAGTATAAGATTCTAGATCTAGATCTAGATTAGATCTATATAAAACGTGAACATGAGACGGATGCTTAAGTAAAAAAAGCCCAGCTTCGATTGGTGAGGTCAGTTCTTTTTTGAGATGTCAAAATTAAATCGAACCTTCTGTTTATAATTAGATCTAAATATAGATCTAGATCTAGATTTTAGATCTAATAATTTTAAATACATGATCTAATGGATTATGGCCATGGCTGCAGAAAAAAACCATATCGATCGTCATCGTTATAATAATAGACAGTATAAAAAAATTTTGTGACAAGACACACTACCACTCCATAAATAGAAAAGAGAGGGGATATTATTTAAAGTGCCTATTTGCAACGCCGAGTTGCGACTAGATCTAGATCTAGCTCCAGTGCTAAATAAAACTCGCACTGCAATTAGCGCAGTGTGTCAAATAGAGTAGATCCGGTTAATTTTGCCAGTCGGGGAAATTCGCCAGCTGGTCTCCCGGCTTTACTACTTTATAATGGAATATAACATTTACAGACGAGTTCAAGTGTCAAACCAACTTGCAGCCAGACGAGTCGTCTGATGAAATCATCAACCAATTAAAGCAAATGATACAAAGACCCGCCAAAAATATTGACATTTTCAGCGCGTCTTACTTCTCATCTTTCTGTTTTGCTTCTGCTGCCTTGTCTTGCGCTCTACTTCCGCTAATTCTGTCTTTTGTCATGATCGCTAACATTGCATTTTTCTTAAATGAATCGCAACTTTTCTGCACTTTTTGAATGTATTAACAACACTTGTTTTGTATTTAACTGCTTGTTCTGTAAAATTTGTTCATAAGAATTGAACATTCTGTAAAAACTAGATTTTTACGCTTGCACTCGTAATCGGGTAAACTCGCCACCACTGTCGGGGAATTTCGCCAGCTTCAGTTCGTTAGATCTGCCAGTTGTTTGTTGTTGTAACAGGTCTAAATTAACAAGTCTTTTCAACATGGTGAAAACAACTAAAAATGTTTACAATAAATATTCTAGGGAGGACTTTCAAAAAGCCACTCAGGCTGTTGAAGACAGGCAAAGTTGTGCTGGTGCTGCGAAAGCATTCGGTGTCCCTCGGAAGACACTGGCTGATCATGTTTCGGGGAGATCTAACATAAACAGGAGAACGGGGAGGGAAACAAACATCCCAGAGGAGATTGAAAATGCAATCGTAGACAGGGTAATAAACGCTTCTAAGTTTGGGTTCCCCTTGACAAAAAAACAGTTTTTATTAAAAGTAGGGGGGGGGGGGCGTGAAAAGATTGGGGCTTAAAACACAATTAAAAAATGGGATACCCGGGAAAGACTACTGGTCTGAGCTTAGGAAGAGGGGTCCTGACCTTGTGTTCAGGACTCCTCAAAACTGTGCCTCTAGCAGGCTGACCATGACTACTCGACCGATATTAATGGTAATTTTAATGATCTTGAAACCATCATGCATAAGTTGCAGCTGCTGGAGAAACCAAAACAGATTTGGAACTGCGACGAAACTGGCCTGCAGTTTTCGCCAGACTGCTCAAGAGTCCTTGCTCAGAAAGGGGCCCGAAACGTAATTGCAAGATGCAGCCCTTCAAAGGAGAGCGTCACCACCCTGGTCTGCATCAGCGCAGCTGGCCAAGCCATGCCTCCCCTTTGTGTCGTCAAGGGAAAAAACGGTGAGATCGATCCAGTCTTTCGCTACCCAGAATGGACCTGAAGGAACAGTATGGACATACCAAGCGAACGACTGGATGGACGACGACATCGGTGTGCAGTGGTTTGAGAAAGTGTTCCTACCCTACTGGGGAGAGGCAAGACCCCAGCTGCTGATCCTTGATTCCCACCATAGCCACGAGGTCCTGGAAATGCTTGAGCTGGCACAGAAAGAGGATGTGCATATTCTTGTCCTGCCTCCTCACACCACCCATGTGCTACAGCCTCTGGACAAGGTGGTGTTCAAGCCGTTTAAGACCGCCTACACAAGGAACTGCACAGTTTTTAGCAGCAAAGCCCAGCTCCACAATCAACAAGGTGACGTGGCCAAGGCTCCTAAGAAACACATGGAATACCACGATGAGGCCAGACCTGCTGGCAACAGCATTCCAGGCCACTGGGATCTTCCCTCTTAACAGACACAGGATCCCAGAGTCAGTCTTTGCTCCATCAGATGCTCTGAGGGGCATTTCACAGACCGAACCTGCTGAGGACAGAAGAGTGCCACCATCACTGACCCTGATGTTATTCCAGCCGCAGCTCCAGCACCAAAGCGGTCTCGAGCAATCAAGTCCCACAGATTGCTCACAAGCAAAGAATTAATTGGCGTGAAAAAGGCCCTGGCAGAGAAGAAAGAGAGAGAGGAGGCTGCAAAGCAGGAGAGAAGGGAGAAGGCGAAGCAAAGGAAATTGGAGAGAGAACCAAAAAATGCCAAGAAATAGATCATTAAACAAACCTGAAAATGATATTTCTCTATAGCAAATATTTATTCAAGCAATTGTCTACAGACGAGAATTGTTCTGGCATGTTGCAGCATTTATTAGCACAAATGTTGCAGCAACTTAGATCAGTGAAGAAAATTCATTAAACAAATCTTGTCGCAGTTTTTCAGTTGATCGTACCGAACATTCATTTGTTCATTTTTCCTCTTCTTCTTTGCAATCTCCTGCTAGATCTCAAGGGTCGTTGACTGCTGGTTCTTCAACCTGCAGTGTAACTGGTTTTTGTGTCAGTCAGACACGAGTAACTCAAATTCGTCGGGGATTGGAAATAGTGCTTGAGATTTCCGTACTTCGTCATGTCATTGAAAGCCCCAAATACAAAGAAATAGAGAGAAAATCAAGAGAGGTAAAAAAGAACATTAAAACAATTAATGTTGTTAGCTTCCTTGACGGCGGAAAGCAAGAAAATGAATGAAAGTGGAAAGCAGAAAATCTCACTTGTGCACAGCCGACTCCTACATCATTCCTTTCCTCTCATTACAGAAAGTTACGCCTCTTGCCATCCGCACCGCGCGCGTCCCACAGCATGATTGTATGCTTGGCTAGCCAGTCATGCAGAGCGGTCAGCATCACTCCCCTACCCCTCTTCTCCGTCCCCTCTTTCTTCCAGCCTCTCGTGGTGTGACAAGGATCACATTTTGGCTGTAACAATAACAAAGAAACACCTGTGACCTACCCAGGCCATAAAGGCTGTAAAGCCGGGTCTTTAGTTGAGAATGCAAAGTGGATTTGTTCGAGATTCGAGTGTTGCGTGATCTGACTGTTTGGGAACTCAGTGAAGTCAATACGAAGAAAGCATAAGGACTGAAACAGGACCGAGCATTATGTTCGAGATACCGGAGAATTCGTGATTTTAGTGTTCGAGATTCGTGGACTCTACTGTATGTGATCGTTTTTTCTACTTTGTAGGGTCCCCAGCTTTCAGGCACCCACATTCCAATTTTGAAAATACTCATCTATGTAATTTTACAATTATATTTTCAGTTTTGGCAGGAATTTGAATTTTGATTTGGCCCAGTTGGCGGCCAAAGGGCCGTCTTATCGATTTTAGAACCACCAAGGGATCTTTAACGTGCACAAATTCCACATACGGGACCTCCATCAAGATTTTTCGCACAGCAGTCAACAAGCCACCTCAACTATCAGGAAAATGAGCTAGAGCAACAGTTTTTGCTGTTAATGATCTTTATCATGGACAAAGGTTTCCCAGTACCACTAAGCTGTGTCCTGTCTTTTGAGAAATGGCACATTTTCTGTAGCATTATTCAGGCTTTGAAAGATATGTTGGATGTTTATTGTTTTCTCTTTGCTCTTACAGCTTCATCATGACCAAGCCCAGAGTGTATGTGACCCGTCAAGTTCACGACGAGGCCCTGGAACTTTTGCGAGAGAAATGTTCAGTGGAAGTCTGGAACAGTGACGAATTGGTTCCTAGAGATGAGTTGCTGAAAAAGGTCAAGGGCGTTGATGCTATCTTCTGCACCATTAATGACATCATCGATGAGGAGGTTCTGAATGCTGCAGGTAGGAAATCAACTATTAGCTCTGTAATATACATTTGTGAATGTAGATTCTAAAGGTGTTTTTTTAAGTATGATTTTATCTTGCCTCGGTTCTCAATTTCTACAGCACTCACCGAAATAATGACACGTTGTGCTAGCAAAGATAGTCTTTTACTCTGAAAAGAGCTAAATAACTTTTGGCCCCTCTTTATTTTACCAGTGCTCCATTGAATGTGACATTACATTGTACAAATTATATTGCAGGAGTGAGTGGAACAATGATGAAACAAGACTTGATACAACTTTTTGGGGCAAAAGAGAGAGTTGAAGATGTAGATGAAGATATGTAACTGCCCCCTGTTTTTTTTTTGGGTTTTTTTTGTAAAGTGTTTTGCGGCGCTCGCAACTGCATAAGGTCATATGAATGCGCGGGACGCACCTAATATTTTCAGTTGGTAGGAAATTTAGAATTTTGCCCGGGTGGCGGCCGAAGCATACTCTTATCAATTTTAGACCACCAAGGGATCTTTAACGTGCGCAATTTGCACCTGGGCCCTCCGAGATTTTTCGCCCTTGTCCGAGAAGGCTAGGTGTAGATCTTTCCTACCAGAAGATCAGGGGTGTGGCTGAAAGACAGCAGTAAGAAGAAGCGAAGGAGTAGCAGTAGAAAGGCTGCAGAAAGAATCAGGATCCCAGAGGAAGGAGGTGAGGGGGTGGGGGCAGAAAGAGGAGACGAAAGCTGACGACAGAACATTGCTAGAGAGCAGGAAATGAGATGAAAGGAGACAGATTTAGAGAAGAAAATTTTTCAGTCGCTACCCGGATTCGAACCCGGGACGTTTTGAATCAGAGGCCAACACCTTAACCTCTAGGCCACGAGAGCCCCCTAACTGCCCCCTGTATTGTTGTATGCTAATTCTGATTGCTACTAGACATACAAGATATATTTTGAAGAAACTTGAGGTTTATGATTTTTACAATGCTGTCAATCATCTCTGAAGGTTTCTTTGTGCACTTGTGTAGTGGTGTACATATCGAAAAGTTTTACATATCCGGCTTCAATATGCTCATTTATGTAAGGATATAAATAACATTGATTCGTACTGCGTTTTGTAAAATAATGTACCTAATTTTCTAAAAGTAGACAATTAGAAAGGTTTGTAGCAAGTAATGACTTTTTATAACATATTTTTTATGTTCCTATTTCATCATTTATGTTTGGTTTGAAATTACTTCAAATGGTTGGAGTCTTTTTTTTTTTTTGGTAAGTGTTTTACAGCGCTCGCAACTGCATAAGGTCTTATGAGTATGAGTGCACGGAACACATTAAACTTTTTCAGTTGGTAGGAAATTTTGAATTTTGCCCGGATTTTAGACCACTAAGGGATCTTTAACGTGTGCAACTTGCACACAGGCCCACTGATATTTTTCGCCCTTGTCCGAGAGGGCTAAGTGTAGATCTTTCCTACCAGAAGATCAGGAGAGTGGCTGAAAGACTGCAGTAAGAAAGAGCCAAGGAATAGCTACAGAAAGGTTGCAGAAAGAGTCAGGGGCCTAGAGGCAAAGGAGGTGAGGGGGTGGGGGCAGAAAGAGGAGACAAAAGCAGATGACAGAACATTGTTAGAGAGCAAGAAAGACAGAACATGAGCAAGAAAGACAGAACATTGTTAGAGAGCAAGAAAGGAGGTGAAAGGAGACAAATTTGAAAAGAAAATTTTCGGTTGCTACCTGGATTCGAACCAGGGACCTTTGAATGAGAGGCCAACACCATAATCAATACAATTACAATGCACAACACCGTTATTTCTGTAATTCTGATTGATGATTCACAGGGCCTCAGTTGAAGACCGTGGCTACCATGTCAGTGGGCACCCACCACATCAGCACATACGAGTGCAAGAGTCGCAACATCTACGTAGCAAACACGCCGGATGTGGCGTCTGACAGTGCCGCTGAGCTCACTGTTGCTCTGCTCTTGGTTACCGCCCGTCGGTGTTTGGAAGGTGACTTTAGAGAGCATCAGTTTTTTGTTCTCTCTCTTGATTAAATGTTTCACTTAAAGAACATGCTTTATGTTTCATACATCGTCTTTTTTGTCCCTTTTATGGTGGTTCTTACTCGTTGTATTATTTCACATGCAGAAAAGTTTGCTGATTTGTGGTATAGAAGCTTGCCTTTGATAGAGTTGACATAATATTGTAAAAACTTCAGGGTGTTTTTAACATTTGTCCTGTTACTGCCTTGTTTCTGAATTTACAACTCTGTCTTTGCAATTAATGCTGTTCTGCTGTCTTTGGCTGTTGAAGAAATTCATTTTGGTGGTCAGATGGCTCTTTAATGTAATTTGCTCCTTTTTCCTCTATCTAACATCTATCAACTTTATCTCTCCCCACTCTTTTTTTGCATGTTACTCTCTAGTTACAACTTTAATCTTCAGCACTTATACGCCCTCTTTGTGTTGCAAATGCTAAAAATCTCTTACAGAAGCCAAAACTGAACTGTAGAGATTCAGGTTTTTGCAACTGTTATTGAAGATCATGGTAGCCATGACACATGAATACAGTCTAGCATGAAAATAGCTAACACAGAGAGAGAGAGAGAGAGAGAGAGGGAGAGAGAGAGAGAGAGAGAGTCCTTTCTATAAAAGTCGAGGTCTGTGGTGTATGCCAAGCAGTGTTTAATTTTCTTGCACAGCTTTCATACTTCAGATATGCATGGGCAGTCTGGTATTGCCCAAAGGCACGTATATATTTGGTATTGTCACCAAGTGTGTTAGCAGATTCAACAGAGATTTCACACCACACAATGGCTTATCTCCATTCTGCACAGTTAGGTCCAGGTGAAGTTGTAGTGAAGAATGGCAGAATGGACTAAGGTGAAGCAACAAAAGTGGTAAAGCTTCTCTGTTGAGGAAGAACGACTGATCTTTGCTGTGATGGATAAAAAAATCATATTATGCACCTAAATCTGGAAAACAGTTTAAGGGACTTTGAACCCAATGTGAACATTGGAGTAGCTTAACTCTTTATCTCCGAGGGGGGTACCCCCCACTATGTCGGGGTCCTTTTTTGGTGTTAAATCTAAAAATGACAAAAACGTCTTTAAATGGTCATTAAATCGAAACGAGCTATCCTATTTTGATAGTTCTTCATCTATTGAATGAACTTCCAATATAAGAGACCTGTTTTCGGCAATTGCCGAAAAGTAATTTGATGTCGAAGTCGTCGTAAAGGAATGTGCCCGAGCCGCTGTCAGCGGCTCACCGGCACAGTGGTTCCGACTGCGAACCGCTGGGAGCGGCTTAATGGCGATAAATAGTTAAAAGGTATGATTTTTACCCAATTGTTAAACTTTATCTCTCTCCCTTGATTTAGCCTTAAGTTGCATGTAACGAAATTTTTAAAATATACAAAGATTTCCAGGTACGGTCAATTTCACTAAATTTGCGTGCTAGACTGTAAAGACTTAAAATTCTTGAAATCAAGGTTTTCCTGTCTTTGACTCTCCTCAGGAATAGAAGCTGTCAAAAATGGAGAATGGGGCAAATGGAAACCCATGTGGATTTGTGGCACAGAGCTGGCCCAGAGAAATCTGGGCATCCTTGGTTTCGGCCGTGTGGGGTTTGGTGTGGCCCGTCGGATGAAGCCCTTCGGTGTGAAGCGAATCCTGTACCACGATGTGGTACATGCCTGCATGGGGGATGACCTGAACGCAGAGTACGTGGATCTGGACACGCTTTTACAAGAGTCAGATTTCCTGGTCATCACCTGTGCCCTCAACGGAATCACTCAGGGTTTGTTCCGCAAAGAAATATTCAAAAAGATGAAGTCTACTGCAATTCTAATCAACACATCTCGCGGCCCCATTGTAAAAACCGATGACCTCACTGAGGCTCTTCAGAATGGTGAGATTGCGGCCGCTGGGCTAGACATCACAGACCCAGAGCCGCTGCCCACGGATCACCCTCTGCATGCGATGGACAACTGTATAATTTTGCCTCACCTCGGCACCAACACGACCCAAGCCAGGCTGGATATGGCAATAAACACAGCCAAGAATATTTTGGCAATGGTTTGTCCTAGATAATTTTCTCAGCCACCTGTATAGACTTGTAATATATAATATCCAAGACAGGCCACTCATGACGTCATTCCAGTTCACCATAGAGAACATTATCTGACTCTGTTTGGAATCAGATTAAGTGGACAAGAGGGAAAAGTTGCTCATGCAGTCCGATATATCTTAACTTGTGTTGTGCCCTTCATTTGTGTATCCATGGTGCTCACCAGGGCAGCAAAGTTTTTTTTATAGAGAGATTGACTGCCATGACAATGCCTGGTCTCGTATATTATAATTCAAGTCTATGCGGCTACCTCTGGCAATTCAAAAGATCACTTTAAATCTTAGACTCTTAGACCTAGAACGAGTCTTGACTATACCTTTGTTAATGCAGTTTCTAACAAGCTTTGCAGCATTTTTGTATTCTACTCAGTGATTTGAATTTTCATAATTCTGTGATAAAAGGCAAAACAGTTGACATGGTTTTTGTAGGACTGAATGAACTAGTGTGTATTATGAACATGATCTTTTGATCTACTCTTGATCCACAAGCATAATATTTAACACACACAAAACGCAAAATTGACTGTGTTGTTGGTGGGTAAGGGCAGCTTATCTTTTTAATCAGTTTGTTATGAAAACTTTGCCTCAGTGGTGCCTTTTTTCATAGTCATCATATTAGAGTGTCAATTTCACTTTTCATCATGAATCTCCTTTTTTTTTTACTGAGCCCATGGTCTGTAAAATGATGTTGCTGTATTTTCAGAATTATTCTGTACTCTCTTTCATACAGAAAGATATCCACTTATTTTGTATAACAACTCTTTGTTCCATACACGCTTGAATGTTGATTGGTAAAAGTGGGAGTGTGACATGTTGTTATGTTACAAAGCTCAATGGGCTGTGACTTAAAACATCAGCTTCTGAACAAAGTTTCAGAAAATTCACAGTGTCCTTTTGTATTTATATTGCGACAGCACAAGGCTGTTTGCTCCATGTTGAGAGCATTTAGAATCTGTACGCCATTTCATACATAACGGATACTTATTTAATGAAATTTTAAGTAAACTATGTATGGGCACAGGTTTGTCCTAAACTAAAGAGCATTTAGAATCTGTAGGCCATTTCATACACAACTTTTTACACTCGATACTTATAATGAAACTTAAAAGTAAGCAATGTGTGGGCACAGGTTTTCTGTACCTAAATGCTGCAATGCTATTATTATAGATTTTTACACAAAACAATCAAATTGGATACTTTGGGCTAAGTATCTTTTTATAACTGCCTCTGCATCAAACAATCAAAGTGGCTGAAATTTGCATGTTTAAGCTAAAGGGTGAGATACCTTTTTGTGTTTCAGTCACCAGTTGCCAAAGTTAAAACCACATAAATAATATTGGGTATTTGATTTGCTTTTCATCGCTTTTGTTTTCTCAGTTTATGCACAATGTCAATTGTTTTGAGTATTGGCATGTGTGTCTTTGGAACCCTAACCTGCATAATAATATTAACTATGTCTGTATAATAGTGCCAGTACTAATAGAGGAATGTCTCCTGTCTGTCTTTTGTGTATGTACAATTATAATGTTTCAAAAACGGGTTTTGCTAATCAGCAGACAGAATTTTGCTTTTTCAACTGTTTTCCTCTTGATGTCTTGTTTTAAATTTTGGTTTCTATACAAACTCTGTTCAAATTATGGGAATGTCTTCTTTGATATTGAGACTTCCCTGTAAAGTTAATAACAAAACGCTGTTGATGTAAGCGTGCATGGTTTCAGTGCATGGGAGTTAAATCAGTTTCACTGTGAAGTAAAATGCGTAGTAAGTGTAAGACAGTAGACAGTGCAAATGTAGCTTTCCACTGGAAAATGAATTGTAGAAAACTAGAACAAGGTGTGAAAGGTTTCATATTGTTTTTTATTGTTTGTTTACAAGTGAAATCTTATGCTAAACCTCATACACTTTTCCATGTTCTAATTTGGTGCAATGCCCCCTTTTAATGAAGATATATTTATGTTTCCAGAATTTTTGTGGTATTGTAGAGTGTTTAATTTTTTAAAATGTTGGTTGATGTCAAGAGTTTTTTTTGGTTTTGTAACTAAACAAAATCTAGATGTACCGGTATGCTGTTATTGTATGGCATAGTATTTTTCACTGTTGGCTATCATTTATATCAGCTTTATCTAAAGACTGTCTCTTTCTGCTATGCTGCTTTGTATAAATAATTTTCGCTTTCAATATGTGTTGCAGTAGATCAAGTTTACGATCCCATTAGTGGTGTAAGCTAAAAATATGGCGAAGAAAGTTTTTAAGTTATATTTTGTTACAGGTGTATAGATGGTTGTAGTACACTCCGACTTGATGAGTTCTGACAGTCGTGTGGTAACATTCCTCTCAGACCTAAGTTTCCCTTTTATGTGGCTGGCTCTTTTCTAAGTTTTTCGGATGAGTTGGCTCTTTTTGTTCTATCTCCACTTAGTGCTTTTCAAAGCCCTCTGGCATATTGGGGGATGTTAAACTTTTGTCTTGTCATTCAAGCCAAGTCAAACTGTCCGAGACAACCAGTCCCTATCGAGGAAAAAAATAGTTATCTTAGGCGTGTGGTCACCTTGTTGAACAGTGTCTTTATATAAGGAAAAACACTTGGGGGGGGGGGGGGGGGGCTGGTTTTCTGTACAAGTGGTCATCTTTTACAGTTGGTCAGTAGAGCCGGTTCGACTGCATTTCAACATGGTGTAAAAAGAACCAGGAAGAGCCATATTTTGTAGCGTTCATTTGATTTTGTGTCATGTATGTATATATATGATTTAGAGCGTTGTTGTTAAGTTTTTATACTTTGCTGTATCGGTATGTAGATTATTAAAGTAACATATCTTTGTCTACTGTGATCATTTTCACAATCTTCTGTCTGTAATGTGATGTTCAGATCATTAAATGTATAAAGTAACAAGTTTTTCAACTTTATTTAATTTCATTTGTTATACTTGTGTGTATAAGGCTGCTGCTAACTGAATTTTAGGGGGGCTCTCGTGGTCTAGAGATAATGGTGTTTGCCTCTCAATCAATAGGTCGCGGGTTCAAAACCTGACAGCGACCGAAAATTTTCTATTCTAAAATTTTCTCTTTTCACCTACTTTCCTGCCTTTCTAACCATGTTCTGTCGTCTGCTTTTGTCTCAACTTCTGCCCCCTCACCCCAACCCATTTGTCCTTTCCTCTGGGCTCCAGACTCTTTTTGCAGCTTTTCTACTGCTACTTCTTCTTACTGCTGTCTTTCAGCCCTGCCCCTGATCTTAGGGTAGGTAAGATCGAACACCTAACCTTCTCGGATAAGGGCAAAAAATCTCAGAGGTCCTGTGTGCAAGTTGCACATGTGAAAGATCCCTTGATTCGAATCGATAAGAGTAGGCTTCGGCTGCCACTCGGGCAAAATTCAAAATTAATTCCTGCCAAACTAAAAATATTCAATGTGTCCCACGCACTCATATAACCTTATGCAGTTGAGAGCGCCATAAAATACTTACCAAAACAATCAAACAACATAACTCAAACTGAATTTTCAGAAGAGGAGGCTGGTGTAATCTATACCTACCCACACTTCTTACACAAACATGCGCGCACTTACACACACACACAAGTCCTGATTACATGATGTGATGACGTTGTTATGCTGGTAAGTGAGACCACAGGCAGCGCCAGTGAGCCAATGCTCGGTCACACGGCAGTAACGTTACACACAATGGTGGAGACTTTTCCTCCAAGACAGGAGAGACTCTGAAGAGGGGTGACTCTTCACAACATGATGTTAACTGAGCTCCGCTGTTCATCATTGTTCATAGTGTATTTTTCGTATTGGTAGGTGTTACAAGGAGATAAACAAGTGAAGAGGGATGCACACACACTGGAATTACAGGTCAATCTTAGGTGTTCACCCTATGATTCTGAATCATTAACAATTTCTTTTGTCAGATAGTTTATTGCACTAAAGGTTGCTGTTAGAGGAAAGGTTAATGTTATAAAGGGGCAATTTATGTTGGAAAATTTTATTACATAAGCTTTTTGGTTGCTGTTAGCCAGAGGTCGCTCTTATTTAGGCTGCTGTTAAGTGGACACCATGCCATGCCACGTGAACAAATCTGGCTGCTCCAATCATTGTTCATTGTTTCAGGAAGCAACATCCCTGCATTCCGGACATGTCCACTGATGCCCTGTTGCTCTCTCCAAAATGTCGCCAAGGTTCTTTACACTGATTGTGCCAGTGCATATCTGGTTGAACGTTCTTCTGTTTTTTCCTGCAAGGATGCCAGATTTTCCACTTCCTTTTTGTTTTCCCAAAAGCAAAAGCATCTGTCTGTCAGGGCCGACCTGAGCTGAGAGGGCAGAGGGATACAACATCTCAGCAGAAAGACTGAGATACTTCATAAAAATTGCTCCATTCTAGGCTTGGGAATCAAACTCTCGTCTTGTGCATGAGAAAGCAAAGCACCTGATGGCAACACAACAGACTTCGGTTTACAATGATTCTACATTTCCAGGACGGATATGACGGTGAAAGTTATTGATGGAGAAGAGTCATGCTTTTCCAGACACAAACTGCTAAGACAAAACACAGGGCAGTTTGCTGCCCCAACCCAAGGAGATTAAAGTTCTTAACTCCTTGCCCCAACCCAATCTTCTTCAGTATGGTAATCTCAGCGTGCTGATTGACACTGACTTTTCATCATTATTGAATACATGGATGTACCGTTCCGCAGTCAAGTGTCTGATCAATCGTTACTACTAAAATCCTTGGGTAGATTTTTATACTTTACTATGGTTTGCATCTAACATATTAGTGACTATTATTATTATTATAATAATTATTATTACGAAAGTGAAAGCTATGTGATCCGAGGTAGTTTAAGCAGTTTAAGGGAAATAACCCAGGAAACATTCTGTGGGAAGGTTTTTTTTTTTAGAGTTATAAAACTTCGATCTTTTTATCAATGGGACATCACTCTCATTACTCTCAACAAAACTCAACTTCTAAATTTTTCCAAAGAATCAAATTATAGCTGCTCTGTTAGGCGATCTTGCAGCATAGTCAAGGCTTAGAAGGTCTAGCATAGGCCTACTACTGACTAATGAATGCTTGAGCAATGAGAATGAGTGTCAGAGGAACATCACTGTCAATTATTATTGTCTATGATCTGCACTGATCGTAAGTTACTGTTCAGCAGCAATATTATAGAGAACAGTAAATTAAACAGTATACAGACCCGGTAACCGGGAACAAAGTCACAAAGTATATAGACCCGGTAGGGGAACTCTTTTGTGATTTCGGGAAGTTTCAGACCTCAGACCCGGTCACAGAATTCTACACTTAGAAGTGTAGAATCCTGTGGACCCGGTAGAAATCTTTTGTGTGTGTGTGTCAGTGTGTGTGTGTGAGAGAGGGGGGGGGGGTGCTAGCAAAAAATGTATATGACATGCCCCAGTTGGCAGGAGGGAACGAGAGAAAGATAGAGTGGAAAATAGGTGGGGACAAAGAAATACAGAAACAAACAAAGAAAAAGAAAAGGCGAGCGGTACACAGAGGAGAGAGAGAGAGAGAGAGGCTGCTTGATTGAAATTATGACATTGTAACTTGTTCTTTTCTTCGGATTGTGATTCCTCCAATTCCAAAACGGAGGAAAAACAATCGTTCATCGAAACGACATCTGCAATCTTCATTTAGATCTAGGTTAGCCGCGAAACTAGATGAAAGATTTATGTCTGTCTGCCTAGATCTAGACCTAGACCATAGATCTAGAAGAACCTAGGTCTACCCTGAGCCAAGAGGGCGCTGAAACTCTCCGAAATCACAAAAGAGTTCCCCTACCGGGTCTGTATACTTTGTGACTTTGTTCCCGGTTACCGGGTCTGTATACACTCCCATTTTTAAAATCTATCTAAACTGGCCCTTCCTGCATTATTATTAGTATGATGAACAGAACAACTAAGTTAAGCTGACCTTGCCACCAAAGATCGTTTAGAGAATCTTTGATGGCACGACGCTTTGATGCGATGTTTTTCCAGGAATACCGGTAATGTGATATGATGAGGTGCTCCGATGATTCTGCTGATCTCTTCTGAACTGCACACATTGTTTATTGCACCCGGGGGAGGGGGGGGGGGGGAGTAATCTTCTGGCATCTTTATGGCCATTTTCGTGCGCTTTATTGTCTTTGCGTTTATAGTGTTTCAATTTCAAGCATCACTACCGGAATTTCGAGATTTTATTTACATACCAGAAACCTTGTAACCAATCAGTAGAGCATTGGCTGCAGTTAGCCGCAAGTGTGATATTTTACCATGCGAAACACATCGGTACTTATAATACGTCAAGCCGCTGACCCAACATGTCGTTCCACTCGCTAGGTATCTCCAAAGATTCTCTACTACATGATCTTTGGTATCTCCACGGCCTTCTAAAAATAGTCTGTGGGTATCCCAGGAGGTGATGACTTCACATTACTAAAATTAGCCACCAATCAGGCAGGTGCATCGTTCTACGTTTAGCTGCATGTGCCTAGATCTAGTAGTGTTGGTACAGGGTATATCTTATAGAGTGAGAGGGAGGACAGGTCGCGGCTGGGATAATAAGTGAAAAATTCAGAAAGCAGGCACAGTAAATCGGGAATGCAATTCAGCTCCAACGGGATACAGGTAGGACCAGAAAATTAATGAGTTAGGTCCTAACCTAGAGTGCCGGAAAAGAGGTCTCTCTTTTTAAAATCTTTATTTAAAAGAAATATATCACGAGAAAGATAACGGGAATTGTAAATGTAGATTTTTCATGACACACTCACAAGATATAATATGCTGCTCCATATTATGAAACTGTTTTTATTCTCTTGTTAGTCTACATCCTCAGATTTTAGAAGCAGCAGATGGCTATTCTTCTTCTGCTCCCTAATTAATTCTCAGTGAATAGGCTCTCAGAGGTTTGTCAAACTACAGAACAGCATCGTCTCTTGTGGTCTCTCTCTGTACATGTTGCTTTTAAACACGGTCTGCTTAAGACCAAAAAAAGCCTGTGTTTAACTTTTCTTACAACAGCATGACATAAAAAAATTTTCTACGATTTTCATGTCAACAAAGCCTTTTCTAAAAATGAAAATTGCTGGTACAAAAGACGCAATTAATTTATGCATACCTACGGCTTTTATTATTTTTTTCATTCCTCTTTCACTTTGCTCTAAGCTCAGCTGTGGATGGGTGACTGTCAAGAGGTGTAGCTGTGCATCAATGATGACTTGTTACAGAATATGGTATGTTTCTAAAGAGATGAAAATTTAAGCAAGAATTGGTTTTGTGTCTGAGGATGCATGATGAGTTTTGTTACTGGAGACCCAGCAAAAAAAAAATTCAAGTACTTATTACTTAAAGTAATGGAAAAGATATTGTTGTTATAATGATGAAAGTTGTGTGTTCAGCTAGTGGTGTTGTTGTTCATTATAATAATAATGCTTCAAAGAGTAGTTTATTCTACGATTGAAGAGAATGTGTACAAGCTGACCATAATTCCAAACTTTAAAAAAAATTGGGCAACCCAGGAGCTCTTTTCTTCTGGCTTATTTCAAATTCCAGAATGAGCTTTAGGTCTTATTTGTTCACTTTTAAAACACATGGGGGCTACCCCGAAAAATGCTGTTTTGAGAATATCGAAGGTAAAGTTTTTGCCCCTTGTTCAGTTTCTTTAAAAGACAAGGACAGTTTTCTTTATTACCAAATAAATGTACACACTAATGAAACCAAACTTCTCCTATAGATAGGGCAATACCCACTTTAGGTATAGGTCAAGATTTCTGGAAACGCTCGAAATCTGGGTTAGCCCGCTTGTCCTTAAAAGCAATCATTTATCTAATTAATTACCTGTAAAAAGTTTCTTGAATATTCTTTTTCTGATCGTAGTATTGAGGATGTTTTGTAAAAACAGTAGAACAAAAAATTTATTAAACATTTTTTATTTTGTTTTTCAGTATGGTCTCGGACTTTTTCTACCCTAACATGGGTGGAGTGGAGAGTCACATTTATCAACTATCTTCATGTCTTTTGGAGAGAGGTCACAACGTTGTCATCGTCACACATTGCTACGGTGACCGCCAGGGCATTCGCTATTTGTCTAATGGGCTAAAGGTATTTCACTCTGAATTTCCTAGCCAGCTATCTTTGAGTTAGTTTGAATCTTTTCTGAGAATTTTTTTGCGAATGTTATTAAGTTTGTAAGTTGTGTGACTTTCAGATCTATTTTCTAGCTTCTTAAAATCAGTTGAGCAGCTGAGTTAGGAGAATGAATTTAATTTACTGTTTTTTCATCATTTGTGTTTAATGCATTTGAAGCTTTATCATCTGAAAGCTTTCTAGAGGTTTATTGTAAAAGCTCTGCCAAAGTCAAGCTTTCTTTCACTTTCTTGATCAGCAAGGTGGAGAGGTGAGCTTTATTTAATGTGTTGAAGATGTCCTGCATTCCCTAAGGCCTTTTTGTTGGGACTAGCTATGAATTTATCTGGATATTTTCAATGCTTTTCAAGTTTTATGCAGTCCTCTTTCTGGATTTCTCTAATGGTAGATTATTCCCATGTGTGATGAGTAGAGGCTGCTGCTGTTTGAAGGTTCTGGCCGTCGCTTTGTGGAAAATCATCGACATTTCCATAAAGATTTGTTGGTAGTCTGGGGCAGGCAATGACTAAGTAAGTATTTGTCTTTGAAGTGTGGATTGTCTGAACTATTTTTTAGTCTTGAAATAAAAAATATCAAAATCCGTTCTGTATGTTTTCTGTTTCCAGGTGTATTACCTGCCCTTCCCACCCTTCTACAATCAGTGTATTCTGCCGACCATCTTTCCATCCTTTCCCCTACTGAGAAATGTTTTTATACGAGAAGGCATACAGATTGTGCATGGACATTCAGTAAGTTTATAAGCAACTTGTTTGGGCTTCTTATGTATACTCTCATTTACAGAAAAATATGAAATATATCAGTGTCAGCGAAATAAAATTTATTTTTCAAAACTGTTTTTTCGTAGCATTTTATTTTTTAACAGAGTATAATTCTGAAGTGGTGTCATCAAATTCAGATCTTATTTTGAAATTAAATGAATGGGTGGAAAAAGGTAGAGAAAAAAATGATTTATTAATTGAGAAATGTTACCTCTCAAAGACATGTGGAAAGACAAATTCTTCTCTTGGCACCTTATTTCAGGCTTTCTCAACTTTGGGCCATGAGGCAATGTTTCATGCTCGAACCATGGGCCTACGCACTGTGTTCACCGATCACTCTTTGTTTGGTTTTGCCGATGCCAGCTCCATCCTGACAAACAAAGTCCTGAACTTTGCCCTGGCAGACTGTACCCACACCATCTGTGTGTCCCACACCTGGTAACTTCTCGCTGTGTACACTGTAGTTCAGTTTTTGTAAGGGTTTGACAGCACTTACGACACAAATAGGTCGTATATGTTTCACAGATTAGAGGAGCTACTACTAACTAGAAAGTAACAAACAAAGAAAAGAAGGAGGAGATATCAGATAAGGAGATAGATGTATGATAGGAAAGAAAGAGCAAACCACATCAGAGCACTTGCCATGGGATGTATGATAGGAAAGAAAGAGCAAACCACATCAGAGCACTTGCCATGGGATGTATGATAGGAAAGAAAGAGCAAACCACATCAGAGCACTTGCCATGGGATGTATGATAGGAAAGAAAGAGCAAACCACATCAGAGCACTTGCCATGGGATGTATGATAGGAAAGAAAGAGCAAACCACATCAGAGCACTTGCCATGGGATGTATGATAGGAAAGAAAGAGCAAACCACATCAGAGCACTTGCCCACCACCCACTTTGTGTACTTTGTGTGTGTGCATAGATGTTATGTTTGTGTACATGTGTTCTGGGTGAGATGTGGATGCATTTTTACGTATGTGTATGGGTGTGGGCTTAGGTGTGTGTGTTTGTGCATGAAAGTAAGTGTACAATTGTATCATGCGAGTATAGCAGTTCCTTCAAATACATGAGTTCTATAATGTTCTATACATGTTCTATAAGTTAAAGAATAAAGAGTTCAGGTAAATAAATTGAAAATAAAAATTCTATTATTTGTTGAATTTGTTTTTTTTCACAAGTTGGTTCTTTATTAGCAAGCTATTGATCTTTCATGATTAACAGTTTCAGGTCTTCTTTACCTCAATGTCTTGTAAAACGAATAAATAATGTCTTATTTGATCCTGTTTGGTGCAAAGTGTGGGCAAAACCAAGTATTTATTTGAACGTTTAAAAAAAATAAAAATTTATATTAAAAAAATAATTTTTTGTTGTTGGTGGAAATTGTGAATTAATCTGAAAGGAAACAGTCACAGCACCTACACCCTGAGGCAAAAAAATGTAAATGCTGATAGAAATCTTTGCTATGTTAGCCCTGGCTGAAAATAAGTTGACAATATCTAACAAAACACAACTATGCAATCTCTCATATTTATTGACTATGGTAGCATACTGCTGTCCTTGTACCTATTAAACATATTTTTTCTTCTTCTCAGCAAGGAAAACACTGTGCTCCGGGCCAACGTTTCACCGTCTTTGGTCTCAGTCATCCCTAACGCTGTGGACCCGACAGTGTTCCAGCCAGATCCAAGCAAACGAGACCCGGACAAAAGTAAGACAACTGTATTATGCACGTCTGATTGTACAAGGAAAGGAGAAGCTGAGTTACAGAACAGTTTGTGGGACATGCTTTGTTAAATACAATGAGAAAATTCAGAACAAGCTCTCAAGAAAGAAGTAGGGAAATAAAATTGGAAAATTAGAAACATTTCCGTAGCATTACTCGTCTTCACACTCTATTAATCAGCAAGCCTGTACAATGCACTGATAGTCATGTATCACCTCGCTTCTGAGATGGGAGAGTGAGGATGCAGGAAGATGTACAAATGGTCATCAGAAATCTGGACATCAACTGGACATGAGAGAAATTTTAAGACTTGAGACTGGACGATGACAGCACATTCTGACCACTGGTAGGTCCTACTTCCTTTCTTTCCTTCTGTTGTTTCTGTCTATCTGTCTTGCTTCTTCCCTGCTCAATATGGCCTTTATTGTGTCAATCTACTTCTCTTTACTCAAACTCAAAACTGACTATTTTGTATATTTGATCCACTTTAATTTTTTCTTCCACCCAGTAACAATTGTGGTGATTAGTCGTCTTGTGTACAGAAAAGGAATGGATCTTCTGGCTGGTCTCATTCCCATTATCTGCTCCAAGTACCCTCAAGTCCAGTTTATTATTGGTATGTTGTGGTTGTACAGTTAATCATTGGTATGTTTTGGTTTTGTCCAGTACATCATTGGTACGTTGTGGTTCACAATAGAAGGCTATGGGCTACTGGGAGTGAACCTCCCTCCCCCCCACCCCTGGGGATTTTTTGCCACCATGATTTTCTGAAAGGGTAGGACCTAGGGACTTCCCCCCCAAAAAGTTTGCACCAAAATGTTGGCAATCTACAGAGTTACGGCCCTTGATTGTCCAGAAATTAAGAAAATACTTGATTTTTATGTTGGGGTTCTTTGTGAAGCAAAAAAATGTGTACTTTCATATGATGTAAAACTCAAATATTATAAAATGATATAAGTGTTGTAAAAACATTTTTTTTTGCTAATTAATTACAAGGTGCAAAGAGGAAAAAAGAAAATTCAAAGGCTGATTTCTAAAAATCTATAGAAATGATTAATTCCATTGCTTCAGATCTCCTATAACCGGGTACAATAGTTTTCTGATAGGTACAGTTTGACTTAAAGTTTGAGGCACAAAATGAGCAGGATTTTGTGCAAAATAAAGCTAGCTGTAGAGGGTTGCTGTTCATTCTTTTGAAAAAAAAAACAACCTGTGTGTCAATGTGTGTGTAGTTCAGGGAAAGAGCCTAATGTGATTTCCCTTCAAACAACATAAAGTGTGTTCTAGTTACAAACCTGTCCTTATAACTTAAGCCTGTTGTTGTTACCAATTCAGAACTTAAGCCCGAGAAATTAGTACAGGTAGTTTTGATTTTCAAGTTTTAAATAAGAATTTTGGGTTTGTAATGAAGTAATATCCGTGTATTTAAGTTAGGACAAGCAGTTATATATATGAATGATTTTCAATTTTTAAGTTTAAGTTTGCTTTTGTAATATACAACAAATGAACAGTGGAATCCTCTTAAATCAAACACAGTAAATCTGAAAACAGGTGATGACGTACATGTGTGTTTGTGTGTGTGTTTGTGTTTAATGTAGTCAAACTCATGTGTCTATATGTCCAGGCGGTGACGGGCCCAAACGTATCATCCTGGAAGAGGTGCGGGAACAGTACCAGCTGCTGGACCGTGTGCTCATGTTGGGGTCGCTGCAGCACAGCCAGATCAGAAACGTAAGGACCTCAGAATGGAGAGTGGAGAGTGGAGGGGACTGCTTCTCTCATACCACCCAGCATTTATCCTGTGATGTTACTTTTTACATACAAGTGAAAGTTGCGTTTTGTGGATGAGTGATTTTGCAAGGCTTGTCTCAGTGTTGATCTACTGTGCATGTTCCCTAATGGTATTACAGTTGAACCTGCTCTAACGGCCACCTGCCCAAGATAATCACCTGTACAAATGGCAACTTCTGATTTCTCACTTGCGTTGTTTTAGTGGGTTTTTTCACTTTAAAATGACGCTGTCCAAGATATCTATCTGTCTAGGACAACCGCTTTTCTCCTCAACAATGGGTGGCTGTCATGGACAATTTGGCCAGTACTTTATTCATAAACGTGAAAGTTGTGCTTTTTAGATGGATTTTTTTTGGTGCAAGACTTTTCTCATTGCTGATCCATGACATCTTCTGTATATAAGAGAAATGGAGTAAATATATTATGGAAATGTTGAGCTTCTGATATGCTTCAAGTGTTGATCATTCAGGAGTGTCCTAAAAAAATTAGTGTTATTTATATTTTTTCTTCATTACAACTGTGTTTTGGGCATGGCATTCTGATCTGTCTTTACTCGCTGGATTTTATCTCCGGGATAAATGTTTGTTACAGCTATTATAGCCTGTCCTTCTGTCTTTGAGCACTCTTGAAAATGTGGATGGTCTGCGGGCTCTCGATTTGGGTGGTTTCTTCTTTCCTGATATCTATCATCCTTATATCTTTCCTCCTTTTTAAAATATCTTACTCTCTAGTAACACCTCAAGTCTTTGGCACTTATATGACCTATTTGTGTTGCAGGTGCTGTAAAAAGCTCACAAGCAAACAAACAATGCTAAACTGTTTCACTATTGATCTATCCTGTCTTGTGGTTGGTTACGTCTTTCTAAAATGTTTTCCTCTCAGTCTTCTTGTAACTTTGTTGAGCATTTTCACGTGGGGAGTGCTCCAAGCACTTAGATAGAGCTACATACTTGTTTGATTACAGGAAATTCCAGGATTGAAAGCACACACACACACACACACACACACACACACACACACACACACACACACACACACACACACACACACACACACACACACACACACACACACTCA